GAGCTCATCCCAGGGACCCGGTGAGGCTGTACCTCCCTTGCTGGTAGTCACTGCAGCATGGCTCCTCAAACTGGATTGCTTCTTTTCGGGTGTGAGAGCAGCTCAGCTGCAGGGATGCTGCCTGCGTGTCCGGGGTGCCACGACCTGTCACCTTCAGGGCACGCTGGGTCTCCTCATCCCCACTCCAGCCCCTTTGCAGCTCGCTCTCCCGCCCACCTGGCCAGCAGCACAAAGCAGGAGGGAAGAGGGAAAGCTGGAGGCTTTGCAGGGCACGGGGACGTCCCAGGGGAGCCTGAGAGGATGCCAGCAGTGCCTGTGGGTTGAGGCATTAGGGCTGCAGAGCTGGCAACAGAGACAGGAAAAGTACAGGCAGAGCGGGGCTGGGCAGCGCTGGCAGCCGGCGCTGCGGGAGCGGCGTGCACGGCACTGCTGATGCAGCAGAAGGTGCCTTGGCGGGTGGCTGGGATGGATACAGGGAGGGGATGGATACACAGAGGTGATGGATGCAGTGAGGGGATGGATGCAGAGAGGTGAGCGGAGCTGCAGGCACGGGTGACCAGGCAGGCACTGTGCCAAGGCAGGAGGAGGAGCACTGCGTTTGCTGGAGCATCACAAATTGTGAGAGGGGAGGCAGAGAGGTCTGAAGGGGTGAAGGGATGCCTGTTACCCCTGCAAATGATGCCTGTCACGATGGCTGCTGGGGCCGGAGTCACAGGTGCAGGTGAGTCTGAGGCTGGAATCTCCAGTATCCAGTGAGCAAGACCACGGAGACCTGCAGCACTGGGGACCTGGAACAGCAGCACCCTTGCCCTGGTGCAGGGAAAGGCCACTAGGTGTGAAGAACCCCCTCCTGGGATGCTCACCTGTCTGCGAAGTTTGCTTCCAAAATGATGGGTCAAGTTAGGATGCCGAGCTGTCACCTGGCCGAGCTGTCATTTAGGAATCCCTCCAGTAGAGCCCTAAGTCTTTTTGGAGGCAGGAAGGCTGGGAATAGCAGCACCGCCTGGCTGCAAGGGTTGGCCACTGAATACAAAAGAGCTCCTGTGAGCACTGGCATGAATGGGGCACGCTGGGGAGGTGTGTACCCAGTTATTCCATGCTGACACGCTCCTGCAGCCACACTTCCCTGCTGAGCATCTCTGCAGAGGCAGCAGCCCCTGTGCCCCACAGCCCGCTGCCCTGCATACCCGGGGCCAGCTGTGCCCACACGGCCCAGGGCTCAGTGGGATGCTAGCTGTCACCAGGGCCTGATGGAGCTGTCACACTTGGCAGTTCCAGCCGCTCTCCCCGGCCGACTGATCTCGTGAGACATCTGCCACTGCCGCGGGCCGGGAAAGGCTCTGCTCTCCCCCAGCCCAGCCCTGGCGAGCGGTGCCACGGCCGGGAAGGGCACTCCCAGCAGCTGGCCTCGGGATTTTGGCACTGTGCTGATGTCCAGCATGGGACCCGGCATTCCTGCGGCTCAGCAGAAACTTGTTCTGCTGAGTCCAGCACCAGGATACTGTGTCTGCTTTCAGGGAAGCTGAGCACCCTCTGCTCGGACACTGTCACCTCCCTGGGGGACAGGAAGGAGGGCTCAGGGGCGCTGCCAGCTGGCTCACAGCATGTGGGAGGGGGTCACAGTGGCTGTCCATGTACCTTCAGTCCCTCTCACCTTGCACTGCTGGAGCTCGAGGGTTAAAATGCCAGGCTGCTGCTCTCCGAGGAGGGCTCCTGCCTCCCTCCACGTGGGTGCTGACCAGGTAGGGCTGAGCAGAGCAGTTGGGCTGCAGCCTCCCAGCTCAATGCAGCAGGCGCAGCGCTGGCCCCAGCTGCCCTGGAGCATCCTGCCAGGGGCTGCCCCAGGAGGACAGTCCCAGCCCCCTCCCAGAACTCCCCGAGCCAGAGGATGCTGAGCTCCTGGACCTGGAGCAGGCAGAGCCCTCCTGCCGATGGAGGAGGAGGTGGCAACGCTGGAACAGAGCTTCCCATCAGCACCTTATATTTACTGCAAGGTCCTCTGGCTGTGACCTTTAAAAGACAAGGTGGCCTGGCAGCCCAGGAGCCGGCAGTGGGCAGGAGGCACCCACAGGGATCAGACTCTGCAAGACTGTCCTGCTGGGACTGACACGCCGGGCTGGGAGCTGAGAGGTCCCGGGCAAACAGACTGCGGGTGAGTACCTGGCTGCCTTTGTCATTCCAGCTCTCCCCTGCCTGCAGCTCTCCCTCGGAACAATGCTTTCCCCTCTCCCTGCATCCTTCTCCCTGCCAGCGCTGTGCTGCCCGCTGCCTCCTCGCCCCTGCCAGCAGAGCCGGCTGCCTCCGGAGGTGCACGGGTTCCTCACCCCCTTTCACGGGCCCTTTAAACAAGCAGGGAAAGAGCAGCAGTGTCCCCCGGCAGCCACTGCAGAGGCATCTGCAAGAATCACTGAGGTAACCCTCCTGGGTCCCAGGAGAAAGTTTCTTCTGACCCGACAGCCTGAGGCCACCTCCACTGAACCCTCCCCACTCCATCTCTTCAGGGCTGCCCTTCACACCCCTCAGCACCCCAGAGCTCACAGTCCCAGGCTGTCCCCTTCCCAGGTCCCCTTCTCCCAGCCCCAGGAGCAGGGCAGCATCCCAGGGAGAGTGCCTCTGGGCTCTCAGCACAGCACCAGGCAGAGTTCCCCATCACCTCCAGACCCTTCTCTTGCTCTTTAACACCTGTAATTCCACCTGGTCCAAGGAAATTTTAGTGCTCTGTAAAAGGGACTGTCCCTGGTTCTGGAGAAGCACTGGGGGGTTGCAGTCACTGCCCTTGGTCCCCTGTGGTGATGAGAACTCACCCTTGTCGTGTCCCACGGGGTCTCCTCTGTGATCCCACCGTGCTCGCCTTCCTCACGAGTTTTTTTGCCAGCAACATTCCAAGAGGTATCCTGAAAGCACCAAGCTGTGGGTCCCCCATCCCCTTTGCCTGTGGCTGACCCCCCAGAGCTGGGTGGGGTGATAACCCCGTGCTATCCTCCAGAGAGCTGCTCCTCACTGCACAGCCAAGCTGTTCCCTGCCATGGGCCAGGTATCAATTGGCTGCACCCCCAGGCACCAGCCCAGCACTGCAGGACTGTGTCAGCAGGACAGGGGAGGTGATTTGGGTGCCCTTCCTAAGGGAGGGAGAGGTGCTGTGGGGAGGTGGGAGTTTTCCGCAGCGCTGACCCCATGGCCAGGCACAGGGTGAGGTGTCCAGGGCACAGTGCCCGGGCAGGCAGGGACACTGGGAGAGTCCATTCTCCTGGCACTGCTGGCTGTCACCCTGCTGCTGGGAGCTGGGCTGGGGAGGGGGTAAGGCAGGGCAGGAGGGCAGCGCTGGCTGGGGAAAGAGGTGGTTGCAGGTGTGTAGGGGCAGCTGCCTGACCCTGCCCGTGTGTGGAATTGGGGTGCACCGGTGTTCAGCGGCCCTGGTTGAAGGGCAGCAGGGAGAGGCAGGACAGAGGCTGGCTGTCAGAGCTCCCCTCCTGTCTCCATGGTGGGCAAATTGATGGATGTGCCTATTAAATGTGCCCCAGTTGTGCCAGAGCATCCAGACGGCGTTGCTGGATTGCTGAGTGGGAGAGCAGCCCAGTTAGGAGTGTCCATCACCCAGCACATGCCCCGGGCTCTGCTGGAGCCTGCTGAGCCTTACCTGCCAAGCCCTGAGCAGCTGTCAATCCCAGCTCTCTGCAGAGCAGAGGTGGGGAAGCTGGCAGGGCACAGGTCCCTGTGGCACAGCTGGAGTCCCCACAGTGGGTGCTGAGCACCCCTGAAGTCTTGGTGTGGGAAGGCTGGGGCAGCACTGGCCACTCTCCCACCCCCAGCACTGCCCCGCCTGCCCCTGGCTCTGTGGCAGCTCCCAGGGATGGAGCTGTGGACACACAGGCTGCCCTGGGCTCCCTCAGCACCCAAAGCACCCCAGCAGGACGGAGCTCCACACAGGAGCCCGCTCATCCCCACAGGCAGAGCAGATGAGGGACCTGTCCTGCCCCTCCAGGCAGCAGCACAAAAGCATCGAGTGCAAAGTTTGTGTTTTGTTGTTCTTTTGTTTGTTTGACTGTACAAAGAGCAATAAAAACATCCTACACTCAGCAGAGCACTTGGCAAGAGAAGCCCACGGGAAGGCGCAAACCCAAGGCCACACCACGAGCGATTCCAGCCCCTCCTGTGTGTAGAGATATATATTTGCAGACTCTCTCTGCTGTGTACAGCTATGTACATACAGATGCATTGGCAAGTTGCAATCCAAAGGATATAGTGCACGAAAGAAATGCGGCTCAGCCCGGCCCTCCCGGGACAGGGGGAGCCACGTGTGGGACACGGCACATTCCTGCTGCAGATGGGAAGAGGAGCGGTGTGGGAGCCCAGCGGGGTGGAGCGGGATGGGGAGGGCACGTGGGGCCGGGGCGGAAAGCGATGGGGCAGAGCAGGGAGCGCACGGCTGTCCCTTCACCCCGGGGCTGACAGCACTGCCTGTGGCACTGCTGGCATGGCACCTACCCAGGGACGCAGCAAAGGTCTCCCTTCTCCCCTGGCAGTGCTGCTCGTGGGTGACAGGACCCCTGGCACCTGGCCCTGGGCAGTGTCCCCTGTGGCTCCGTGCTCTGCTCCTCTTCTGCCCCACGTCCCGCCTGCCACAGGAGAAGGAAAGCCCAGGCGTGGTGCTGCAGGGGACACTGCCCTGGGTCACTTGCCTGCCTGACCCTGGCGTGCTCCAGCCCCCACAGCTCACCTGCCAGTGAGGCAGGTGGCACTGGGCACGCTGGCAGTGCATTGCCGTGGCAGTTATGGGTTGTGCAGTGCTCTGCAGGGAGGCTGGAGGAGGCAGTCTCAGCATGACAGGGCTGCTCGAGGGTGACAGAGATGTCCTAACTCCAGGCCTGCTGTTGTGCCTTCCCAGCAAGTGCCCAAAATCTCCTCTTTCTTCCAGCAGCTCTTCGACCCGAGCAGCCTCACCCCACCACTCCCCACCACCTCAGTTTGACACATCAACAGAACATTTTCCATTACAATTGCCCTCCCCAAGACCGCAAAAAAGTCAGCCCAGCTCCTTTGGCTGAGATGCTCAGACTCAAAAATAGCCCAGGAGGCAGAAGGGTACATCCCTTGCAAACCAGGAGCCATTAATGGTTCCAAAACACAGCAAAGCTCTGAAACACCGTGTGGGCTCATGGTCACTACCTGGCCCTCAGCTTCCGAGCAACCCGGGACAGTCCCTGAGGAACACGAGCTTTCTGTCTCAGCACCCTCAGCACTGGCACACAGAATTTGCAAGGAGGAGACTAGCAGCTACCAGGATGCCTACTGGCATCCTCCTGGGGATGGGAACACCACTGCCTGTGCCCCAGGCACAGCAGGAACACCTCAGGGACGAGCCATGGCCCCAGGGGCAGGGGGCCACTGGCCCCAGCTCATGTTTTCCATTGGGACAGAGTGCAGACAACTGGGCATGGGGCTGCCCAGACCCCTCTGCCCCTCCTGGCACCCCCTGCTCAAGTCCTTCTGTATGTGGGGACCACACCGGTCCCCCCTCTCCCACACCAGCTTGTCCCCAGCACCTCCTCACAACTCTGGCACTCAGCAAGGGACAGGCTGGTCCCAGCTCAGCCTCAGGGCAGCCTTGATGTGCTTCAGCCCCCCTCCCCAGCCCTGCCCACCAGGGCCAGGCTCCAGGGACCTTCTCCTCTCCGCGCCCTGCTCCAGGCTGGGTTGGGTATTTGGATGGAGGGAGGGATGCTCTGGGGAGACAGAAATCCTTGCTCTGGGAAGCACATCGAGAGGGTCACGCTGTACAGGGGTGAGGAGGGAGGGGCAGGCAGGGGGGCACTACTTGGTGCCCTCGTCCGGGTTGCCTTCGCCGTCTGTCTTCCCTTCCTCCTCCGTCTTCTGGTCGTCCGTGTTCAGCCTCTGCTGCTTTTTCCGGCGCACACATTTCACCACCATCAGCACCAGGATCACCACGGCCAAGAAGCCGCCCACGGAGGCACCCACGATGACAGCCACCGTCGAGTCGTGCTTCGGGGGCTCTGGGGACACAGGGCAAGGGCTCAGGGCACACAACCACCCCCTGGGGGCAACTGGGAGCGGGCAGGGCTCTCTCTCCCAGGGCCAGGGAGCAAACCCTGCCCGAGGCAGCTACAGAGGGGACACTGACCTTCGGTGAGCACCTTCAGGCTGATGCTGGCGTAGCCCCGGTGCCGGTCCGGGGGGTTCAGGACGTAGCAGTTGTAGATGCCCTCGTCCTCCAGCTGCACGTTTTTGAGGGTGAAGGACACGTCGTACTTGGCGGGGTTCCCCGTGAACTCCACCCGGTTCCCGAAACGGTCCAGCTGCTTGTTCATGATCTTCATCCGGAACTGCAGGAACTGGGCAGCCGAGAGGGAGAGGAGGTGAGACAGTGCTTGGCACCCCACGTGTTCCCTCCCCGGCTGGGCACCCCCCTCCCTGCACGTGCTGCCCTGCCCGGGACCCCAAGGGACACACACGACTACTTGGAGCTGATCCCCAGCCCCAGTGAGACTCACCAGCTCCTCCGAGCAGTTACTGCACTCCTGGTACGTCCAGTTGAGGGAAAACTGCTTGTTCTCCACCTTGTAGCAGGAGTTGAAGGTGCAGGAGAGCTTCACCGAGGTGCCATTCAAGGCACTGATGGTGGGAGGGGCCATGACCTCCATGCCCAGTCCCGGGGGTGCTGCCGGATGCAGAGGAGTTAGGAAGGGGCACAGAGCTCACCCTGGGGCCTGGCATCACCTTCCAGGCACATCCGTGCACACTGCATCCAGCCAGGAGTGGGATTTCCTTACACAGCAGTGACAGGCAACAAGGGGAGCAGCCCCAGCCCTGGTACAGTCCCTTGGTTGGACAGGAAGAGCATCATCCCTGCTCTGCCAGGGCCAATGACCCCTGAGTGCCGTGCCCGGCGCTGACTCCTGCTGACTTGCAGCCAGCCCTGCCGGTGCCCGAGGCTTTCCTGCTGCAGGATCCATAGGATCCATAGCGCCGTGCAGGGCTGGATGCAGCGTCAGCACACGGGGCCCGGCGCCACATCCGCCCTGAAATTTATGGCTGCGCTCATCAGATTTCGTTCCCAGCACGACACGGCACGGCAGCGAGGGCTGGGATCTGCCAGGGCTGGCCCCAGGGGCTGCAGGGGGAATGCAGATGCTCCCCCCTCCCAGCAGTGCCCACGCAAGGGTTCTCCAGCTGGGAATGACCAGAGTGAGATCTGGGTCACTCCTGGGGGAACGAGGCCAGTCCCTGCTCCCCAGCCTGGCTGTGGCAGAGAAACAGGGGCAGTACCTGGTGCAGCTCCCAGGGCAGGACTCAGCTGGGACATGGGCAGGGATGGGGTGTCTGTGACCTGCTCAACTCCATCCCTGCAGCTCCCCTGGGGTGCTGCCTGCCCCAGCAGCACCCCAGACCCAGTGCCTGCAGCCTGGAAAGGGGACAGGCTCCTGTGCAACCAGTTGGCTGCAAACATCGAGGCTAAGCCCTGAGTGACATGGGGACAGAGAGCCCTGGGAGGGAGGGGACGATAAAGGGGGCCTGTGGCATCCCACAGGGTGGGGACAGTGACACCACCACCACCAGGTGCTTTTCGGATCACCTCACCTCTCCCCTTGGGCTGCTGCTCTTTGCTCTCAAACCTTCTTCCCGAGGTGCTGCCGAGTCCAGCCCTGCGGCCGAGCTGGAGGCATGTCCAGGCTGCTCCGCTGGCCACTCCGCTCCGCCTGCAAGCAGGGCAGGAAAGGGGCCAGGCTCTGCAGCCAGGGAAAACAGCCTTTCCCGAGCCACAGACACGGCTGCTTCAAGCCACAGGTCTCACTGCAAGGTGTGAACCCGCAGCACCCTGAAGCTCTCTGGGGGCAGGGAGTGCCCTGAGGTATGGCCAAGCCCTGGAGATGCTCCTTGCTGTGCTGGCAGCCGAGGTGAGCACCCTCCATCCACCCCCAGAGCAGGGGGGGCTCCCACGGGGCTCAGGGAGACAGGGATGGGGACAGCTGGCACATGGGGACGAGTCACAGCGTCCAAGGAAGGAAGAAGTGTCCTGAGCCGGTGCCACAGCCTTGCTGCCCCATCACAGCTTTAGATGCTTCCAAGAAAACCTCTCAGGGGTGGGAGAGAAGAGCCAGGAGCTGGTCTGTCCCAGCAGGCCTGGCTGGGGGGGTGTCCCTGCATGGAGTCATTGTCTGAGCACTGCTCACACAATGTGTGCCTGCAATCGGGTGACCTGGCTTTGTTCTGTGCCCTCAGGGTGCCCCCAGGGCTCTACAGGGGGATGAGATCCCACCAGGAGCAATCCTGTCGCCCCAGACGGGGAGACCACGGCCTGGCAGGGCTGCACCGCAGCCAGAGGGTCCTCACGGGCAGCCAGCATGCGGGAGCACGTGCCCTGGGAGCACCCACGTGTGTGGGTCCAAACTCTGCCACTGCCCAGCACTGGGGGACAGCAGGAGTGGGGGAAGAAGCCCCTAAAGCCCCCGGGACCGACCGTCCAGGCTGTGTCCTTCGGTGCTGCGCAGGCTCCCAAACGCTCTGTCACGCTGCACCCTGTGCCCAGGGAGGTAAAATTACAGCAGCCTCTAAAGCAGACCTCGCTAGGTTTTGTATCCTCCTTTCCCAGGCTCTCTCCTCAGGGGTAAGGCAGCCCATCAGGAGCTCCAGGACAGCGCGAGCAGCACTTCAAAGAAGTGATGCGTTCCCATTCACGATCGATACCGACCCAAAGCTGCTGACACATGCTGCTGGCTGCGGGGCAGGATGCAGGGGACACATCTCCCCCCGGCCAGTGCAGCACTGCCAGCCCGGTGCCCGCTCCCCCAGCCGCCAGCCACCACCCCAAGGACAGCCACAAGCCACCGCAGCCACCCACCACCACCTCCCCGGCGAGGCGCAGCCCCCGTGCCCGCGGCAGCCCCCTCCTGTCCCCGGCATGCAAACAGCGAGCGGGATGCACGGCTGGCTTTAGGAGAAGATGCAGGCGCAGCATAACCCCCCACCCTGCCCAAAAAGCAGGTCACCCTGGCTGGTGGCTCTCTGCAGGGTGCATGCTGGACCACCTCCGTGCCCATCCCTGCGGCTCAGCGCTGGCTCCCCGCGCCGGCACGGGCTGGGGTGCGGGTGAGGGCTCTGGCCAGGCAGGGGGGTGCCTCCCCAGCTGGCTGCATGCAAGGGCATCCGGTCAGACACTTACCCAGCGAGAGCAGCAAGGTGAGGCCAGTGAGGAACAAGGTGGGCTGCGGGAGCCAGGCTTCCGGGCTCATTTTTGGAGGATTTTTTGTGCGTGGAGAGGACGTGGTGGTGGCGTGGGTTTTGGAGGTGGTGGTGGAGGGGGTTTTTTTCGAACGCCCGGGTTATTTGCAGGTGACATATAACATTAGAGCCGCTTTATTTCCACAGCCCAATATGGCTGGAGCGGAGCTGGGGCGAAAAAAAGCAGTAAATGCTGTGGTTGGTGGATTGCAGCCGGCGGAGTGGGAGGGCGGAAAAATTTTCTCCTGAACTGCAGGCGACAGCTCCTGGCAACTCCAGCTCCATGCTCTCCTGGCGGGCTGTGCCACACGGTGGGTTCCCCCGGCCCCTGCAGCCCCCCTGGTTTCAGTGGGGCCGTGCAGATGTGTCCCCTTGGCTCTGCTGGAGGCTGGCGACCAGCCCCGCTTGTACCATCCACGGCAACAGTTCCCGTTCAGCTGGGCCCGGGAACACTGGAAATGCCCTCCTGGAGGGGGCTGGGAAGAGCAGAGGGTCCCAAGGAGGCAGCCTGCACAGCAGCCTGGTCAGCGTGCCCAGGAGGTGGCACTGCCACGGGCAGGTGACCTGCAGCAGGTAAAAGCTCTCCTGCTCACCTCCCTTCTCCCAGGCCACTGCAAGAGCAGCTCCCTCGCTTCCCAGGGGTGCCAAGCTCTGCCATCCCCCCAGCAGCATGCTCTCCCAAAGCAACAGCCCTGCTCACCCAGCCCGTGGGACAAGGAAGCTCTGCCCAGCAGTGACAGAGCTGCAGAAAGTCTTTGATCCCATTGGCACCATCGGACAAGGAAGTCTTTGGGCCCTGGACTCCAAGCCTGGCCTCAGGCTGCAGAGGTGGGAGCAGGAAGGGGTTGACATGGCCTCATGGGGACCAAAGGCAGAGACAGCAGCTGCTCAGTGCCCTGGTTCTCGTCCCCTGGGACACAGGGAGGGGGAGTTTGCTGAGACAGCATCAGTGGGGAGAAAGGCAAGGGATGCCCTGGAGCCAGGGCACATCTTGCTTCCTACACACCTGGGGAGGAAGGGATGGGGCAACAGGGACACAGAGGGGCTCTGCTACCTGACCAGCCTCAGGAGGGGAAACAGGACAGCTGGGAGAGAAGGCATCAGAGTGGCAGGGCAAACACAGCAACCCTGCTCAGCAAACACCCTCCCTGCACACACAGCAGTTCCCCTGCACGCTGGGCAGGCAGAGCCCACTCTGCTCTGCCACAACAGCTCCCACAACGGCAGCAGAGGTCACATGTGACCCTCCAACACCCCAAAACCAGCTCGGGCTGCTGGTTCCTGCTGTGATCCCATCCCTCTGCCTCCCTCCAGGAAAAGAGAGCAGGGTGTCAACGTGAACCAAGGAGGAGCAGCAGCGCTGCAGTCTCAGCAGTGGTGGGAGGTGGAGGGTCCCTGCGCTCCCTCCGCACCTGGAGGTGTCAAACATCTATATATAGAGCAGGAGCAGCGCCAGCACCCTCTCAGATGCTGCCCTGGAGGCCTGGGGGGTGTGCTGGGCTCCTCCCCGGCCAGGACTGCCTGTCCTGGGTATAGGGTGGGTGCTCACCCATGGCCAGGGGCTGGGAGACATGAGCACACACACGCTGCCTGCAGGGTCTGTCCTGCTCCCCTCCACCCCTGTCCTGCTGCAAAGGGACCCCCCTCTGTGGCCCATTTGGCTTTACTGCTCCCTGGGGCCAGCCGGGCCCTGTGCGAGGCTGCACGTTGGTGCAGGGGTTCCCAGGCCCTGGGCCGGGCAGCTTTTGGACATCACATGCTTAAGCAAGAGGTAAAACAAAGACAGGAACAGGGAAGAGTCCCTGAGTTTTATTATCTCCAGAATAATACCATAATGGCCCCCGCTGCATATCCCCCCTTGGAGATCCTTGTCTCAGGACCAGGCTTAAAGCTAGAGCATGGAGGCTGTGCCCACTGTCCCCCCCTCCAGAGACCAGGGAGCAAGAGGGACAGGTCTCCCCTCGTCCTCTGCAGACAGTTGGGGTGGGCCATGCCCCAGCAGTGCCCTGGCACGGAGCACACAGTGAAGTGTCACCAGTTCTGGCCACCCAAAGGGACAAAGGTGTCTTGGACACACCTGGCTAAGAGGCTTCGTCTTCCAGCACGGCTATTTCTCCTGCTCTGGAGCCCGGGGAAGTGGCTGCTCTGGTCTGCTGTGGGGCTCCTGGCTTTGTCCATCACCTTGTCTCTCCTCTCCCATCCATTCTGTTGGGATCATCCTCTTGGACAGTTCCACGTAGACTCCGTTCTCCCGGCAGTGGGAGGGGTGCTGCCGGAGCAAGGGACAGGGTGTGAGTGTCACCACAGGTACCAGGGGCTGTTTGGAGGGGGAAGGGGGCAAGGGATGCTGCTGCCTGGCACAGGGAGTGAGGGGTCAGGCCTGGATGCCACGACCCTGGCCAGGGGGCAGTGATGTGGGGGATCACAACAGCCTGCTCCTCACCATGGTTATGTAGGTGTCCTCAGCTCTCCTCTTCTTCTTGGCATCCTGTTCAGCCTTGGGTATCTCAGCTCCAGGGATTGAGCAGTAAAGTGCTTCCTGCAAGGGGGAATTGGGATGTTTGGAACTGGGCAGTCCCCAAACACACAAGGGCTGCCTGACCCCACTCACAGGGCAGGCACCAAGAGCCACGGCTGTGTCTGGGTAGGGAATGGCACCTCGTGCCTGGCCAGCGTGGGATCCCCTCCCTTGGCCTCCCCACACACCCGACCTCAGTGCTCCCTCCAGCCCCAGCTCTCACCTCTGCTTTGCTCTTGCTGTTTCCAATCCTCTCCAGGGCTGTGTTGCCTGCAAACCTTGTGGGAAGGCAACAGCAGTGTCATCTCCAGTGAGAAGCATTGCCTGCCCCTCCTGGCCCTCCCTCCCCCTCCCAGGACACTGGAATCCCTTTGCACGTGCCTCAGCCAGGCCATCCTTGCTGCTGGCCCAGCCCAGAAGGCTTGGGAGCCAAGGGGGGACTGGCCAGGGCAGAGTGACACTAGATGGCAGCAGGAGCCTGCACCCCACACCGGGGGAGTTGAACCCTCATATCTGGGAACCTGCCCTGCACGGGGCAGCTCAGGGTGATGCTTGGCTGGGGACACCAGCACAGGGAGGTGCTTTGCTCAGCCCCATAACCCCAGAGCCAGCATTGGTACCTCTTCCTCACGCAGAGTCCGGCCAGGAACGCCACCACCACGGCCACACAGCCACAGCCCACCACCGCCGGCCAAAACCCGGAGTCTCTCAGGGGTGCAACCTCCTGGGCACCTGCTGCCCCTCGTCCTTCTGGGGAGACACCAAGGCAGGGATGGCACCACGGGGACCCCGGCCCTGCTGCAGGAGGGCCGTGGCAGCAGGTCTGAGAGCCTTCAGGGTCTCTGCAGCCCCTCAGCACGAGGGAGCAGGGGAGCAGTGGCAGGGACAGCACGCACCTCTCTGTGCCGGGGGACTGACGTGCAGCACCGTGCGGTTCTTGAAGATGCTGCTGTTGAGCTGCAGCCGGATCTCACACTCGTAGGTGCCGCTGTCGTTCACGTGCAGGTCCCGCAGCCGGATGGAGCCATCCCGGCGGGAGAGGCTCCCTTCCCACTGTGCCCGGTGCTTGAAGCGGCCCGCAGGGACCCCCCGGTTACTGTAGTAGAAAAACACCACCTCCTCCTGCCAGGGCACAGACAGCGTCAGGTCAAGGAAGCCCAGTGGAAAGGCACTGCCCCGTGAGCCTTCCCTGCTCGAGAGCCCTCAAGTCCTGCTCTCTCCCTCTCCCCACGGAGCAATTGCTGCTCACAGAGCCGGCTCCCACCCAGAGCGGTGCTTCCCCTGCAGCCTGGGGCCACGGGGTGTCCCACCACCACACAGGCAACCTTCCTCCCCTCGTGGAACCTTCCTCCTCTCGTGGTCCGGGCCAGGCAGACAGGCTTCCCCACATCCTCCCCAGAGCTGCCTCCCCACAGTCCCCGCCACAGCCCCGTGTCCCCCTCCACCACCCACCCCCCGATCCCGACCCACCTGAGTGCCGGCCCCTGCCTTGTGTATCCAGTCCACCTTGCTCACGGTCCAGCCCTTGTTCTCCAGGTCTAGGAAGTGGCACTGCAGCAGCACAGAGTCCCCAGCGCTAGCTCGAAGCTGAGGCTCTGTGAACACCCAGCCAGACCCTCCGCTCCGCTCTGCCGGGGACAAGGACAGCAGGATGAGTGCGGGGAGCAGGGCCAGGTGCAGCCTGCCCATCCCCATCGGTGTCTCCTCTCCAGGTGGGCCTGGGGCTCACGGCACCGGCCAGTCCAGGGGCAAAGCCTCTCCCTGAGCCCTGCTCCTGGCGTGCCCGGGATGTGGGGCAGCACATCCTCCCGCCGCCAGACCAGGGGCTGCCGCGCTCGCCGGACAAGCCGCGCACAAGGGAAGTCGGGAGGCACAACCCCAGCCCTCCAACGCCTCGGAGCCAGAGCCTGCAGCTCCTGCAGGGCTGTTCCTGTGAGTCACTGCCTGGGAGAACCTGTGCAGCCCTCTTCTCTGCCAGGCCAGGGGCAATTCGGCTGCTTCACACGCATTTCAGTTCCTCCTTCACAACCTGCCCATTTGGCTGCCTTCCCCTTTGCTCACAGGCTCCAGACCTGCGCTTGTACTTGTCTGGCCACATAACCACAGTTTGGGGTTTCTAGAGAAGCTGGACAGTGGGGAAAAAAAACCCAAAAGAGAGGAAGATCAAAGAGCACAGAGCTGACACAACCAGCACGAAGCAGTTGCCGGCACGCTGGGCTGCAGAGCGCACAGCAGGAAGGGGATTAAAGGTCTCTTCCAAACTAAACGATTCTGCGAAAAAAGTGGGCCAGAAAATGCCTCTGGAGCTCGTTGAGAGACACCCTGCATGCTCCAGAGCCTGCACTGGCACTGGAAGGAGAGGCTGAGGCTCTGGCAGTTCTCTGTTGAGAGCTAGGGGAGCTGATTCAGCGGGAAGCTGCTCTGACAGGTCGGCTTGTCCTCATGTCTGAGCCACTCTGCTCAGCCTGTCCATGAGCCACAGAGGGCTGGGCCCTGGCCAAGCACCAAGTGCTTGTCTGATGTCCTCTAAATAATAAATGCAAAGTGCTTCCCAAACAGGTTCTTTTGGTCCTGACCAGCTGCAGAGCTGTAATGACAAATACTTGCCAGCAGAGAAGACCAAGGGCTGAGCTGCCTCGAGCAGAGCCAAAATCAATACCTTGGAAGCCTTTCCCTGTATTTAGACTTGGTGAAGCTGTTCTACTTCTTTCAAGGCCTTGGAGCCTGGCTAAGTACAGGACACATCCAGGGATGCCATTGCAGTTCGAAGCCTATACAAATGTGAGGTCTGCAGGAAGGGAAGATGCAGCACCCAGAGACCAGAGGATTCACTGGTACTCAGGTCTTACAGCAAAGGCAGAGGGGAAAGAAGGCAAGGCAAATAAAACTTATAGCTTCCCCAGCCATGTCAGCACCAGAGTCAGGCTCAGCAACACCTTCATCTTACTCTGAAAAGAAAAGCAGATGTGACACAGGCATCAGGCTCCCCTGGGGCAGGACACCAACAACTTGCCACCAGCTCAAGGCTCTGCTGCCTGATGTGCAGCCTCTCAAGTTGGGAGCCTGAAACTCAGCCAAGTACAGATGGCACACACCAGGTCTCTGGTTTTTGAGGCTGCTCTGAGCCCTGGACAGGAAGAGCGAGCGTGAGGAAAAGGGCTCAGCCTGAACCCCTTTGTGTTTCCCCCTAAGTCATGAATCTTTCCGGTGGTTTGGGGTCAAGCCTCTGACATCTGAGCAGAGATGTTCACAGGAGTCAGCTCTGCTCACAGAGCAGTGGGATGTTTTGAATACTACAGAATCAGACAAGTTAGGTCCTAAAAACGCAGACCCCCCTCCTCCAGGACTAACCCCCCTGCCCCAGGGTGCTGCACAGGGAGAGAGGTTCTGCTGGAGCCTCTTGGGCTCTGTCCACACAGTGCCATGTTTGGTCACTGGATTCAGCCTGACCTGCTGCACATCTCTCAAAATAAAGCTGACATTTCCTTTCTACACCTCGTGGATATATCCTGCAGCCCAAGGAAGGATTGGTTGTCATCATCAGGGGTGTGCCAACTGGTGTTAAAAGGAAGGCAAAGTCAGTACCCTGCTTGCTGTGTCCCTGCTCCATGATTCCCAGCTACGGCCATTCAAAAATGCTAAACACAGTTAAGGGCACAAAGTTACTGAGAGAAGCCCTCCTGCCTGGAGAATCTGCACGTGGCAGTTGGATTTGAGGCTGCCATTACCAGCACGTGTTTTCCAGCACAGGCATTTTCGCTGCAGAAACAGAAGGACGAGAACTGAATCATCTGTGACATCTTGGTGGCTTCATCGTGCAAGGGACAGGATCTTTACACCAGCCTCAGGCAGGGATTACAGGCCCAGAATTAGCTACTGGGTACCTGTGGGTCTGTTCCAGGCTGAGGGAGTCACTGCAGCTTTGCAGTCAGAGATGTAGAACCCTCTGCCCTTGATCACCCTCCCTTTTCCACAAACAAAAATCCTGCAAAGGGGCAGCACACCTTCTGGAATTGTCTCAAATCCCTTTAAAAGCACAGGGCCCCCCCAGGGGTCGGGTTTCTGGTGGTGGAGGGACAAGCTGTGGTTTGGCTGTGCTGCTGCAGCTCTGCTGTGACACAGTTTGCTGCACACACGACCTACAAACACAGCACTGCTCCTGCTCAGCTCCAGAGCTCAGCTGGGGCAGCACAGCTCCCTGCAGGAGGCCACAGCATCCTACTTTCCAGAGACACTGCCAAAAAATCCAGCAGAGCTGCACCCTCCCAGGAGCACCCCCACACAGGAGCCAAGAGAACAGCCAGCTTAAAGAACAGTCCTCAGCACCCTGAAACGTGGGATTTCCATGCTCAGAATCTCCTAAGCTCCCTGCAGCTGAGCTACCGAGGCTCTGTGCCTTATGTACTATCAAGCCCTTCCAGGATTTATTACCCTGTTTTTGAGAATAAACTCTGGTCCTGCCTGGGAACACATCTTTGCAGGGTCTCCCCCCGTGACACACACCAGTCTGTGGGTGTTGTGATGCACCAGCTGGAAACAGCACCCACTCACCCTGCTGTTATTTTATGGTGCTGACACATCCAAATCACCTTTAGCAAACAGACTGGGGGAAAAAAAAGACAGATATCATACAGCCTTCACATTTCCCTTATTTTTCACGTGGCATCTGAATCTCTAGCACTTCTGAATCCCTGGTTATCTTTTCAAGGAAAAAAAAACAAAACAAAAGTAAATATTATGGCGAAAAATACTCACCCAGTGTGGCTTGGGGCAGTCAACTTGTCTTGCATGAAGGGTTCTTCAGTGGCAAACCTGGAGTATCTGAATTGGTTGTTAATAATTCGGAGTATCTGAACCAGTTGCTAAATCATCTTGACATCACATGTGCAAGATATTTCTCCTGCCAGACTTGGTTCCTTCTCTCAGGTCCAGCTTGGTGACCACTTTCACAAGCAAGAGGAAGTAGATTAACAAATCAGAATGTGGAAGGGCTGCAACAGAGAGGTCACAACAACAGCAGGAGCATCCTGGCTGAGAGGAGATGATGGGGATGCAGCAGCTTCAGGAAAAAACACCTCACAGGTACAAACTGGCTCAGCCCCTGCCCTTCCACCGTGGCAGAACAACCTGACCAGTCACTATGTGGGAAGGCAAGGATGGAGAGGTGCCTGGCACACAACCTGTGCTCCCCCCTGGTTTGTTTTTGGGGATCAGAGCTGGTTAGAGAACCATCCTTGCTGCAGGATCTTGTCCTGATGAGGCATCACTGAGTAACTTTGTTGGACTTTACTACTGGTGCTGCCAGGAGCCCCGGCCCAGCAGGCACCTCATGGGCTAAAGGACCCCTGTTCACACCCCTGTCACAGCTGTTCCCTTCAGAAACACCCCCCAGCCACTGATTTCATCCACTGCACACCCCCCAGGCCCTTGGAGAGCCCGTTTTCACTCTTCCTCTTTCTCTGAAACACCAGAGCAACTCCTGTTCTCCATTCCAGTCTCAGTGGCTTTCATGGCACACCAAGGGATTTCCACATGGGTGACAGAGCAAGAGAAAGCTCAGCCTCACTCAGGCTGCACATCACTCAGTGCAGAGTCTGCCTCCGAGGGGCACTTCAGCTCTGCACCAGAAAGGTTTGCCCAGGGTCCAGCCTCTTGTTTGCAAAGGAGTCCCAGCTGAAGGCAAACACTTTGCAGCAAACAAGTCTCTCATTTTCCCCAAGAACTTGCGTGATGTGTGACCTCTGAGAGTGGAACAACAAAGCCACTTCCTCCAGGCTGCATAATCCCACCAGCAGCCTTTCTCAGGAAACCTCTGGCCCACAGAGGCATTGTGTCACCAGGAAGCACAAACATTTTAAATGTTGCTTTATAGTAGGCAGGAGAAAAATGTATTTCTCCATCTGGAGATGCAAATCTACAGCTGGCCTGCTTCTCAGTCAGGAACCTCACACACCTGAGACTTGCAGCCACCACAGAGCTGCCAAAGGGGGGACTCGGTACCTGTTCCCTTTTGGGTTAAATCTGTTCCCTTTACCCATCACCACAAGACAATTTTTATACCCAAGCAACAACTCAGGGCGGCAGTTTTATGAGTTCAATTATATTTAACCAAATAAAGTTATCCAGGGGCCAAAATGAAATAAAGCAGTTTATTCGTAATGGCACATCAATATCAGCAGTAAAATTGCACCACACCTGTAAAAGGAGAATATTTGACCAATGTCACACAGGGGAAGGAAGCAGCAAACAGCAGCTCTTTAGGGATTCAGCAGACACGGATTCCACTGCTCTTTGTCATTCATTAAGGGACAAGGTTGGTGAAAGAGGAAATGCTCTTCCTTCAGGGGAAGCAATGCTGCATGATTGGCCATTTCCCTAAAATGGTACCCAGGAGAGGAAGAAAACAACTACTGCAAACAGAACAATGGTTTGGGCAGTGCTCGAGTCCATGGTTGAGGTAGATGGGGTTGTGTGTCCCCAGATACAGAGTCCCCATTTGCACTTCTGATTAAAAAAAAAAGGTTTGTTTTCTATGAATTGTGCTTCACCTCTACAAGGAGAAGGAGATGTAGCCAGTGATGCAGCTGATTAAACCAAGAAATAGTCAAAAAGCAGTAGGTTCTCTTCGCTCCCAGGATGGCAGATAACCCTTCATCAAACAGGTTTGAGCATCAGCAAATACATTCCAAAAAAACTGAGAATAAACGTCACCAGTCCCCAAAGATGAGCAGCCTAGAGAACTCTGGAGCAGCCTGTCCTTCAGGAAATTCCGTTTCAAAGGCTCAGGAGAGGAGGGATGTCACCAAAAAGTCAAAAAATTTGCAAGTGAACCAAGACACGATGGCAGAGGGCTGGGAGGACACAGCCTGTGCAGCTGCAGGCACTGAGGCTTCTGTAGGCACTGCACAAGTGAACTGAAGAGATTTCCTTTTTCCCCAATAAATTAGAAGGATTTTTTAAAAATCATCATTACATAGAAGTGAATTATCCCAGCAGCATCATTCTTCCAATCCACCAAGAGCAGAGCACATCCTTCCACCTGCACTGGTTATCCAGCAGCCTTCGGAAGTGCCTGGCCCTGATTTTCAGTGCTGCCATTTTGTTCTCTCTCCACAGATTCAGCCTTTCATCAGTATAGATCTTCCTCATCCGTGTCCTAAACAGGGAGCATGGGGAGAAAAATTGAGACTGTGTGTGAAGACATGAGTCAAGTCATGAGTTCAGCAGAATGCTGAGCCTGCTGGGCTTCTGACAAGAGCCTGAATGCTTCCCAAAGTGCTGCTGTGCTTGAGCAGGCCAGAGGACTGGCATAAACACTGGTAAAAATGTATGTAAATGTATATATATGTATGTATAAGCACTTGCAGCTGAATCTGTTTGACTCCTCACAGACACACAGACCAACCACCACAATATAACCAGCACATCAAGTGTGTTTGAAGAGAAGCAGTAGCTAAAGTTCAAACCAAAGATGAGCCATAAAGTGCAGCACAAAGCAAAAGCACCACCAATCCCTGCAGAGAGCAGCACAAATTATTGTTTTTTCAGCTACAGCAACCACTTATTTTCAGAGCCCAGTCGCCTGTAATTCCAACCACAGGAGACATTTGCTGGCGTCCCCTCGAGCCAGATCTGCAGCTCCCAGCTCTGAACTCACTCAAACTCCTCAGCTCTGCAGGGGAAATCTCACTGACTCTCCAGTCACTTTGAGCCCAAAGAGGTTTTTCAATGGCTTTGCAATTTCAGTTGTTTGGTAACACATTAAGCATGAAAAAGCACATTACAGAAACCTCAAAAATGCAGAATCATTAAGGTGAGTGCGGCGGGATTCTCAGCCACCTGATCAGACAAGTATTTCAATATCAGAGCAGAGAATCAAATCAGACAAAATACTCAATGTGAGAGCAGCAGGATGATATCCCTCCAATTTGACTCCTCTCAAAGGATGAGAAGACATTTTTCAACTTTTGAGATCTCCCACTGCCTGACAGCATTTCTGTCACCAAGTTGGGGCTCCATCCTTTCCCATATCTCCACCTGGTCCCTCCCTGCTTCCCAGCATGTCACCTTTCCACCTCTAAGGCCACTTCCCCTTTGGCACAAAGCATTTCCTACTTTCTGCACCTCTCCAAACCCTTGCTCCCAACACTGCTGGCTTGTAACTGCTGTGTCTTATGTAGAAATGTAAATATTTAATATTTAACTTACATAATTGCTTGTTTTCCATTCTGTATCTAACAGAAACCATCAGCACACGCCTGTCTGAAGGCTCATGCATTTAGGACATTTTAAATCACTGGCATTAGAATAGTGAGTGAAGCAACATACATTTAAATACTCCTTAGCATATGTCCTGACTGTGTATAAGAGATGTAAAGGTGCCTCAGGTCAGTTTGCTCTACAGGACACCGTGGAAAAAAATGAAAACACTCAAATTACTCTGGAATGTGCCACACTGGTGGCTGTGGCTGCTGATCCCAGCACACAGCACTCACACAAAACAAGGACAGCAGGTGGCAAAACACTCAGTATTGTCAGCACAAGGCTCCTGATTCACAGGAGCTGCTCATGGGTAGGAAGGGAGCCAGCAGAGTTAGAAAACAACAACACACAACAAGGCACAACAAACAAAAAGCCACAAAGAAACAAACAAACCACAGGGGTTTAGAAACATTCTGTTGCAATGTAAACAGGGTGAAAGGAGGAAGGTCTCCAGAAGAGCAGCAGGGCTGCACCTCCTCTGCAAGGAGCACAGGGCATCGGGGGGTCCCTGCCTCCCTTCCCCACCACAGCACTGCCAGCCCCCAGGCTGGTCCTGCAGGGCCTTCAGACAAACTACACAGCAGCTTGCACTTAAATTCTGGTTTTTCATCTTAAAAGCCACAGCTTTGGTTTCAATAAAGTCACACGAAAAATCAATTGGCTTAAGCCCAGCTGTTTGGGACACCTCCTGGACATCCAGAGGGGTTATGACAAGCTCCACCTCCTTAGCACCTCCTGTGAGCATCAAATTTGGCAAAACCACAGTGAAAACACCAGCTTTCACTTACCACACAGTTCAGACACCACGCCCTGAGTTTCCCGGAGCAGCCCGTGCTCTCTGTCTGCTCAGGCCTGCAGAAAAGGCACAGGATTAGGTTGGACTCTTCCTCCCAAAACACACTGATAAGTCCTACAGGCTCTGAATTCTATTTACACCACACGGAATCAAAGGTTTTTTCATCGTGATGAAAAGCCTTTGATTCTGCACAGCAAAACCAAGGAGAATAAAGGCTGTCAGGCCCCTCATTCTGAAGGCAGATATTTCACGTCAGTGCCACAAAGAAGAAAACAAGAGCTGCTATTTGGCTGGGGAATCTCAAAATTCCAATCAGAACACTGAAACAAAGCAGTAAAACCTCACTCTGCAGTGGATTGAAGTCCTGGATTCATGGCAAAGCCAGGTGCAGCTCCTGCAGCAGCACTGTTACCTGGCTGTTCTCACTACTGACCCTTCCAGAGGGGAATCCTCTCCAGTGCAGAGAGGAATTCAGTCTCCAAGGCTCCTTCAGTACCTGGCACCTCTGCTCGGGCCACCACAGGGGAACCAGGTAGTATTACTGGGTCTGTTCTGCTGTTATGGACACTTCATACCAAAATGCAACACATAAAGCCCACGTAGGCAAAATCTCTTGCTGACTCAGGCTGAAATAAATCCCATTACAGAAGTGAAAGATTGGCTAACCCTGAACTGCTTCTGTTCCACGGCTCACACGAATGACAGAAAAAGGGGATGTACAGCACGTGATTCATGCCCCAGCCTGGGGATCTCCCAAAGCTTTCTGAGTGCTGAATGGTGCCCATGGAGAAGCAGAACCAGTGACTGAACCACAGCCACTGAGCGCTGTGTGACGAAGGACAGTGGAGGAACCATCCTCTGGCCTGTGCTGACAGGCCAAAGTGGAAGGACAGGCTTTGGGCTGCAGCCACAACTTACTCATCAGACACCTCGATGGAAGACTTCTTGTAGCCACCTTTCTTTTTCTCCTTCAGCACTCTGAATTTCCTTCCCATCCTCACCAGCAGCAGAACGACCACGATGGTGGAAGGGAGAAACACGGACAAGGAGAGCAGGGCTGCTGAGGTCAATCGGAAGGAGAGGCCTGCGGGGAGACACCGGCATTCCAGCAGTGAAACACGGGGAAAGAAAGGCAGACAGAGCCCTCCCCAGCCTCTGGGACAAACAGAGGACACAGTTTGGTGGCTTCTCACGTGAAGCACAGCACTGGCAGATTGCAGACAGCCATCTCTGCCACCAAATCTGTGGGGTTCCTGTCACAAACCCAGCCCAGGCGGGCGCTTTAGATGCAAAGAACTACAAAGGAAGGCAGGTCACGACACAGTTCCATCAGCACGCCTGAGCTGCAGATTTGGGGCAGGCCTGGCACGCAGGGCAGATGAGGAATTGAGTGTTACTGACAGTCAGTGCTTGTGATGTGGGTGTTATTTTTAGGCCAGTATTTCCTCATCGTTTAACTTGTTCCGCTGCAATATGGGGAGGCTGAAAGTGCTGAATGAAGGGGACACTTTTGATTTCGGTTATCACCACAGCTCCCTCTGTCCCCTCCTGCCCCAAATAAATTCAGTAGCTCTCAATGTATTGAGCTGGGAAGGCAGGGCTGAGGTGACTCTTGCTGAAAGTTTGACATGGAACTCCAGGGAACATTTTCCATGTGATGCTCAGACTCCCACGATCCCGACAAAGCCGCAGTGCAGCTCTGTCCCACAGATGAGGCCAAACCATGGAAAAGGAGCCTTACCCCTCTCTGTAACCTCCAGCACAGTCTGGGGGATGTTGTGGTACACGTCTGGAGGATTCTTCACACTGCAGAAGAACGTCCCATTGTCACTCAGCTCGGGGCTCCGGAGAGCGATGGAAGCGTCACCGCTGGCAACATTCCCGACCCAGGATATCCTGTCCTTGAACTTTCCCACTGTTGTTGGGTATGGAACGGACTGGTAATGGAAAACCTAAAAGGAGGCAAAGGCAACAGTTGTGCCAATAAAACACTCGTCCAAGAACGCAAAGAGAAATGCTTTTTTGGATTGAAATAATAAAGGAATATACATTAAAGGGTCAGAAAGAATACTTCCTATGCAAGAGAAATAAAGCTACCAATCAGATCTTTACAGTCATACTACGGCTACAGTGCACAATGCAGCACTTGTAGCAACCCCCAAAATTTATCTGCCTTATCATCATTATGCTATTTTGCATTTACATAGAATATTTTTTCCCAAAGACCACCAAAGGAATTTCACACGGGAAAGAAGGTGACAATGAGTTCCAAACCATGAACTGATGCAGCAGCTCAGTAAAGCAAACAAAATTCAGATTTTCAGCAAGCACAGAGGCCTGGTCAGACTCCCTGTTCCACTTACTGTCTCCATCGGGCCCCCAGCGAGGGGTCGGTATGTCCAGTACACCACGAGGCTCTCAGTGATGGGGGAGCTGGATTTGAAGGAGCATTTCAGCAGGGCTTGCTCACCAACGACAGCCGTCACTTTAGGATTGGTTTTAATTTCCAGGGAAAGAGCCTTGCACATACCTGATGGAACAGGCACAAAAGACAAGGATTAAGTTACCAGCGAGGCACAGAAGTGTTGATGTCCCAAAAGTATCAACACAGGTGCAGGTCAACAACAATTCAAAGGCTAAAGCAGGGCAATAATGACATTCTCCACAACGAAATTTGAAGGAAAGCAGACAACGCCCATGACCTACTCTCTGCAGGGCTGGAGCCTGCTTATATTTAGATGTGGAGATAAAGAGCTGAGAAATGGGATCAGATGCCTCTCTGACGAGTTCCAAAGTCCCAGCTTTAGGTGCTTTACTTTAAGGCACCTTTACTTTAAGGCAATTTTGGCTCTGTGTGTCTCGCCACAGCCCCTGAATTCCACGTGCACCGGGTCAGGAGTCACCCCGCAGCAATAAGCGCTCTCAGTTCTCGTTTCCAGCGTGTGCAGCCCCTCCTGCCCGGCTCACCCGCCGCGGGCTTCGGCCCGCACAGCGCTCAGCGGAGCATCGCTCACGTCCTGCCCTTCC